CCGCACTTCCTGGCGTGGGGCATCTTTGATCGTGGCCGCACACCACACACACATACTCGCACACACGCACACACACACACACACGCACACCCACACACCTCACCCACAAACACAACTCATCCATACACAACTTACTCACACATACTCGTCCACACATAACTTACTCCACACCAATCCTTCACCATCTCTTTTCTCTTTCTTGCTTACCCCATGCCGTCTTTGCCTTTCTTTTGCTGCTTGTTGGAAGAAGTTGACATGTGGGGTTATCCGGTCCTTTAATTTTCCAGCAACTGGATTAGTTCATTGATGGCTGCCGATTAGCGAACGTCTTGGGTGGTCATCCAAGTAGCTAAGTCGCAATCATGCCCCAGGCTTAGGTATGATGGGTGTATATAAAACCGTCCAATGTTTCATGGTTCAAGAGTCACTCAGCCTTTCGCTTCGGGCGCATCAGTCCAGCTTCAGAGCTGCAGCAATTCGAAATCCGAGGGGCCACACCAAACAGGCTAAGATGTGAGCGTGGGTCAGAACAAACGGGAAAAGACAATGGTCCCAAGCAGCGAAGTTGCTCTTTGTTGTATTTGTAAAGGGTTTGAATTTCTGACCCATGCCCGTGTCAATCAGAAAGGTGTTTCAAGGCCACCCAAAGATGAGCCACAAAGCCTGTGGAAAGCAGTGGCCCCCAAGAAACGGCCCAGCATGCCGTGCCCGAAAAACAAATGGTTTAGCCCAGTTCAAGACGCGAGCCCTTGTGCTCGCGAACCTGCTTTCCTGATCTTTTGCAGTGCACTGGAGGATACTGGAGGCAATTTCAGGCTTGTCTCAATAGTGGAACTACAATGAACTTTATGTTGCTGCACCCCACGGGAATGCACTGCAAGTCATGGAAAGCCGCACTGTGCTGTTCTGCCGGGGTAACAGCCCCTGCCAGCCCGCAATCCAAAGTACATTAGACTGCGCAGCCCACTGTGACAGAAGGATGTCGATGGCTTAGGGCACACTGCTCAATGGTGCACGTTTGTATTTTTATTCATGTTCATACCAATGTTCATTCTCTCCGTTTTGATGGCTGGATGCCCCGTTTCATCAACCACCACGACTGCCTGAGGGTTTAGAAAACCCTTACTCTAGTTGAAGGGGGCTGCTTTGGGAGACAGCTGCGAAGCTGATGTCATATCATTCAATCATAATCATATATTTCCCTATATCTGTATCAAACCGGCCTTGGCATCTGCCTGTCGCGACGAAATCTCCGCTACGCCAGCTATGGAACCCGCTGCGCATTTCCCTTGAAGTGATCAGAAGCCACTGGAAGAATAGATGGATGATGGATGGAACAACTGCCTGTAGGTGGTCCGCCTATGACAGGGATGATTTTAACCTAAGATACCCCCTCAACGAAACCTTTGGAACAACACCGAAAGGTGGAGACAAGCTGAAATCCATGCCAGTCTTGACAGTTGGCGAAAATCATCCCAGTGTCTTTGACAAAGCTTGCGCATAATATGATGGATATGACATGATATGACCCACCACAGCTTCCAATTGATGTATGGATCAACGTTTTGCAGTTCCACATGCTACACAATGATCCACTGATCCCTTCATCGATCCGTTCCTAGAATTCTTTTATGGGATAAATCAAAGGAACCCCTTATATTCTATTTGGAAAGAACTTAATGAACTTGGTTTCCACAAACCGTCCCTTAAACTCAAACCAGAATGGATCCATCACATCTCGTTATTCACGGCCCATTTTGGGTGGTTTTTCTATCAAGAAAAAAATCAAGAATTATATCAATTATAATTATATCTTCATATACCTTCCATTCTGGGTGTTGAAATCTCCCGATTCAGCATTTTCATCACCCCTCTGGGCGTTTTCAACCCGTGCGTTTCGGTGCTCATAGCTGGCCACGAACGAACCGCCGAGTTTTGCTCGGCGCAGTTTTGGCAAAAACGACCGAGTCTCCCGGACGGGGCCCAAAGAGACGGCTCGAGATGTGCGTCCTGGTTGGAGGTCCAGTTGAGGATCCGGAAGAAAGTCGATGAAGATCTAGGGATGGGTCAAAAGCATTCAAAACCACCATATTTGGATTTATTTGGGGGAACATTGAACATCTAGAGATACCTAGAGATGGGTCAAAACCCATCATTATATATAGATGTTGTTGATTTATTGCATCTTATTACCATGTTTGGGGGAATAACCATCCATGAAAACGAAAACCAACTATTTTGAGCCATAACCATCTCTGAAGTGGTTTAGTGGTTAGTTGATGTTACACTGAATCTTCGAATTTTCAATGAGTGATTATTTCATGATATTTCATGTTTTTTGATGGAGGTCTTTGGTGGTAAACCAGGCCATGTTGATGGTTGTACCGGGTGGTGCTTCTTGTCAAGTTGTATTGTGGTAGCCCAGCCTATCTTTTCGGATGCCCAAGTGTGCCCCCTCCACCAAGTGATGGATGTACTTTGCAAACATCACAATGTTGGTCGGAAAGTTGACGGAAACCCTAACCCATTGGTCCGAGGAAAAAAATCCAAGGTAGGTCCCTCAACTAGGTTGAGAAATCGGCGACATTTAGGAACAACAAGGGAGAACTCCAGAAAAGTCTGGATCATAGGCATGGACCGGCATGGATTCTTTTTGTGGATGAGATTCAGATTTTTGGGAAAATGGAGACCTGCTGGTTTGAGAAGATGGCCAGAAAACCCAATTGAACAGCAGGTATATATATATATATATCTTTGGGTTTTCAACCTGGTTGCATCCATTGAAGAGCAAATCAAACTGTATACCGTACTTGCTGTTTCTCGGCAGCTGCCCCTCTCCAAGAACTTATTTATCCTTGTTTCATTTTGTTTCCTTCATGACTTTTAGACATATGGATAGATAATTGATAGATAGAACTAATATGAACTAATTAATAGTTAAATACACACATGTATAATTATTGTATGATATATTGCATGTTCCATCCTCTTTCCGGGATGCCATCTTCTAGGGGCATTTCGTTTCACCCTGATGACTGGTCATCGGGTAGAAAAGCCAGCACCACTGCCACGTGGGTCCCCTTTCAACGAGACGCTGAATTGATCCACGTTAAAGGTGTTGTGGTTTCAGGCAGGTTTCAGATCCTTTTCAAAATTTCGATGCTTAACGTTGGGATGATATCCCCACTTGACTTTCACACTGAGTGGCAGAGTAGTGACTAGTGGGCTTGTAAGTGGCGTTTGGGCTCATACTTTCAAGATTCACAAGTTTCTTTAGTTGCTGTTGTTTGCCTGCTGCCCCAACTGACAAAACCAGCAGCTGTAGCCAAGATTGGTGCAAGCACGTCAGCAACTGCTAGTCAGAAAGGGGACCCAGTGCGCAGACACTTAGGAAATGTCATTGCTGTGCCGAATGGAGAGACCCCATAGTTCAGTTCGTGTCTTGCGTCAGCAGGAGGTCCGGCCATCTGACGTTGAACATTTTCATGGACTATATGGGTTCGAGACGTTTCGACACTATGTAAAACTACAGGGTACTACGGGCAATCAATTCTGACCAATCGTATCTAGACCTGGCAAGGCCAAGGTAGGTAGCACCAATCACGTCAGTTTAATCATCACTGTGACATGATCATCCGCAGCAAATCGGTGATGCTACAGTGAGGTGGCTTGGCTCAGACTATTCTCCCTAGTTGATAATTTTCCTGCTGGGGTTTGTGATTGATGTGATTGATCTCACACCAAAGCTCGTCAACCCTGGTTTGATAAGTGGAAACGATCAACATGCTTTAACATGCAATGCCACCCCTCCACATAGTGGATATTCCACAACGCCCTTGAAGAGCGGCATGGAAAATCCATGAAACTTGGCCACATCCCAATAATTATAAATGCTTTTTGAGTCTCGCACTATCTCACTCTTGGCAGGTTCCAGTATATTGGTGGACTGCAGAAGTGGTTAGACACGTTAGGCCCGGCAGCCTTCCTGTGACCATAGCTTAAATTCTCCTGGCCCTGCCAGCTTCGAGAGCGGAAGAGGTGTGAAGGGACCCAGCAATCAAGCCTTCAGGCGCCCAAGAAACACCACAGAAACCGCCATCAAATCGCCATCAAATCGCCATCATCACCAATCACCAGGGTCCATGACTGCAGCTGAGAATCCGCAATGATGTTCCACGGATGTTCCTTATTGATGCCCTTCTTCTGCTGTGAATGTTTCAGTGCACAATAAACCGTGCATCCGACGCCGCAACATTCCCCCTTTCTCGTTGATGGTTTTGGAGTCGGGGTCTGCAGACAGCCAGCAATCGTCAACACAAAAAGAGTGAGAAGCTTCTAGAAGCTTCGGGTGAAGTGCGAAAGCGGTCGGATTTTAGTTTGGACATTGTGTACAAATGGATCCTTTCTGAGTAATTCTACACCAGGTCAGAACGTTGCAGGGCGGAGTTACATGGGGTGTGATAGGGATTTGGGGAGGGCTTCGGACACCCCGCCCCGGTGGACTGTCGTGTTTCCTCCAAGGTCGCGGATCATCCTCGAAGCAGTCAGAAACAACCATCCAGTCAGACAAAAAAGCAGGGCGTGTCGTGAAAGTGTTTTGTTTTTAGGTCTTCAATGGTGTTCACAGGTCTGTACCAGCAATTTGTAGCATGCGACATGATGCAACACGGGTATACAATGCCTGTAATTTGTTCTTATGTGTGGTAAACACGCTTCAACTATAGTACTGATCTATAACGGATGGCATGGCATGGTATGGTGTGCTCGCCTGGGCTGTACGAAGTCCACTCATAACCTCTCCCAAATTTCAACAGGGATACCCTTTGTAAACCAACTTAGCCATGGAGACTTACCATTTTTATCCATTTTTTATTTTTTTAAATGGGCAAAGTATCTAAATGGACCATTTCCACAGCTATGAATTGTTTACTGGAGGGATGTTATATACCTTCCACATCCTTCCACCATCTTCCATTCGAAACAAATGGTTTCGCCACGCAGGGCTCATCTCGGCCGAGCAATCTGCCGAGACGACCGCACACCATGCAGTCGCAGACGCGGAATCTAGGCTCCTCCAAGGGATGGGCTGGGTTGGGTACTTTGCATAGCTCAAACTTGACAGTTTCTATATATATATATATAATGAGAAAATCTGAGCCGGGCCATGCTGGGCCGTCAATTTTTTCGGCCAATTCTGGCCAATTGAATTCCGAAAAACAAGTTGTCATTTTCAAACAATTACTCTGACATCGTCCATTTGGATTTGCCCAAGCCCTTCTCCTCCTCCCTTCTGGCCCAGGTGACACAGGAACCTCCCTGTCCAGGTCTTCCAACATGGGATCGACCCTGGGGCGCTCCTCTGAGGCCTGAGAACATAGCCATTCCATGTCATTCCTTAGATATATTTTAGTAGGAAACCAAAAGAAACCAATGGAACACATTTGAAAGCATGGAACCATCTAACTTTTTTGGGGAGAAAACATGGAAAAGACGTTGGAGTTCCTCACTTCAGGTCTAAGAGCACTTGGGGATCGACAGAATATCCCCCGTTTGCCAACATTCAAGATGCATCAAAATGCATCACCGAACATGAATGAACATATTCTTCAGGGTGGAACCTTATCCATCCTATGGCCATATCCCATGAGGAAAATGATCTTCCGCCAGTGCCAGGGGCCCGCGTCGCCGTTGAGATCGGCCGCCACGAAACGATTCTCTAAGGAGTTGCTCCTGGGCACCGAAAGGGTGACGTTGGTGGCGATGTGACCGTTGGTCAACTGTTGGTCAACCGTTGGTCAATAGGTTAGTGAATGGTTAGTGGATATAATTTAACATTAATTAACTAATGGGTTGGTGATGGTTAATACATGTTCATATAATTAATTGACATTGTAACTATGGCATGTTTAATAGTGGGTGACCACTGGTGAATTGGTTGATTGCCAGAAATGGGATGGTACCCCATTTTAGTTATATACGTTGGCCAGAAAAATGTGTAAAATATTAGGCTTCAAGGACCGCGATGACTCTTCCTTGGGGGACGATTCAGTTGGTCGCTGGTGAGCAGCCATGATAAACACAACTATCAGTGGAAGAACTCAAAACAAAACGGTTTGCATTGCCATGTGATAGGCAAGTGCAGTAGCCAAGGAAAAGATCGGATGACACACACACACACACATGAGACGTGCAATGAGGGCCAACAAAACAGTAAGACAAAGACAATGAAAAGGAGACATCATATACGATAATATTCATATAAATATATACATATACCATATATCCATGTGCAAAATCAAAAAAAACAGGGAACTTGGAAACAGATATATAGCGGATGGCCACCAGACGATGCTGAAGTGCCAATAACAAAACGCGGGATTTTTACTGTTATACATATATACCTGGATCCTCGTAGGGCTGCTAAATTTTTGCCTTCAGAGAAAAATCCTGATTTGTGATTTGGAGTCGGTTCCTGCAAATCTGAGTCGTTTCTTGCAATTTCGCCCGTCCATTGAAGGCCTAAAGGGGGACCAACATGTCACACTACTCGTCCATGAATGAGAGAGAACAAAATCATTGATCGATATTAATCCTCAAACCTGAAATGGTTGTTGCACAAAAACAATCGATCGATGCAAACGATAAACTCCTCAAACCTGAAGTGGTTGCTGCACATCCGCTGTGAACCTTTTTTTCACCTCGTTTCTCGGCATCCATGTCCGGGCATCCATGGACTGGTGAAGTTCCAGCCTCAAGGTGCGCTGGGTCACTCGTGTGTCATATTCAGCTGCTGTTCACTCTTGAAAGGATCGCATGAGAATGTCTATCGATCAATGCATGTCTCATGATCAATCTCTGTGACTGACCTGCATGTTGGCTATACAGTGCGGCGCCACCTGCTTCAAGTATGACCTTCATCATATGCATGCATGCACGCATTTTTTTAACATTGTGGTATATTGTGGTTGTGGCATTTCCTGTGGCCTGTATCTTTATGGCCATACCTGACCTTGCCATGCCTTCCGTGAAAACCGAGCCGGCTGCTCCTCTTCATGTGTCTGGGGTTCCAGCTGCCAAAGCTTCGACTGGGAGGCGCAAGATCACTGACTTTCGCCTGGCAGAGAAGTTGGAAGACTGCCGCTTTGTCAGGGATCTTCTCCGACATACGGGGCGCCTGATTCAATGGGCAAATGAAGATGTGGTCAATGTCATTACATTGGAAGCTTTGGGGCTGAACTATCGTCTCATGGTCATGGTGGCCGATTTTCACTGCTCCCAGACCAATGTGGTCAAACCCCCGGGCATCAATTTCTTGAAAGCTCAGGCTTGAATCCAACACCAATGGAGTTCGTGAATTTTTTGGGGCGTGTTAAGAACTCATGCATGCATGTTTATAACTGTTCTTGTCATGTGTTCAACAACCAACGCTTCCTTGAAGGTGTGGAAACTTCGATCTATGCTCAGCATGCCCGTGAACCCTGTTGCCATACACCATGATTCATGGGCAGTGAAGAAATTTTTTTCCCATGCTCTTCGTCGAGCCGGTGTTGAGCGGATGGATTCTGGAGACAGCCCGTCCCGAAGAGCTGCTCAATCAACCATAGTTGAGTTTCCCATCAAGCGTTCACGACTTATACCATTTACAAGGTACGTTTTGAATTTATAAGGTCGATCCTTATTTATTGGTGGTCTCATTCTCATCTGTTGCTCTAAGGCTGCTGGTGTCACGGAATTCTTCGACGCCATGATGAATCACTGGGAGAAGCCACTCAAAGAGCTCTCTGCCCAAAGGATGCGAAGAAGGTCAGAAGGCCACACCGAAGTGATCGAGATTCCAGATGATGATTGCAAAAGCGTTTCCATGGATGAGCTTGAAAAGCAGTCCTTGCAGAAAGCGCAAGAAGGCATCATCATTGTTGATGGTGATGATTTGTTGGCGGATGATGGATACGCTAACCCCGAGGAAATTGCCAATGGCGAGGTTCCCGAAGCCATGCCCAAGCCCGAGGAGAAACCCAACACCATGACCGAGAAGAAAGCCACGATCGAGGAGAAACCTGAGGAAAAGCCCACGCTTGAGGAGCCGAAGTCTGCTGATGCTGACAACCGTGGAAAGGATCAGTCTGTCGATGCGGAGGATGCTGATGCGAAGGCTTTGGCCGCGAAGCGTCGAGAGGAGTTGATCAAGCAACTTGTTTTGCTTTCCATGGAAATTGATTTTCAAAATTTGTATAACGCATGGTTTGAAAACAGATCCTGTTGCTCTTTCAATATATTGTTCGGCGACCCGTATCCCTTTGGTTATGCTATAGCACTGTTGCTTTTCAGTGTCTATCAACGACCCGTCACTTGAGGCAAATCCTTGACAAAAAGAACGAGCTGGAGAAGCAAGCAAGAATGGACGAAGTGAAGAACACTGAGAAAAAGAATGATGTCAAGGACAAGTCAGAGAAGGACCCTCCTGCTGATGTTGTGCAAACAGTTCCATACGATGTGGATGCTGCCCTCTATGAGCAGTACATGGACAATCCGGAGTCGCAATGGCGAATGGAAGAGGCAGCCAAGACACAGGAAGACGAGGAGACTAGTGAGGAGATCAACGAGAAGACGCAGCTTCTTCGAGCTAAGACTTTGAAGCTTGGTGATGAGCAAGCAGCTGCAGCCAAAGAGGGGTCTGACGAAGAGGAGCCTGCCGAAGAGAAAGGAAGAGCTTCTGTGAAGCCATTGGAGAAGGGCAAAGGTGGTGTCGTACCTCGAGCGAAGCAAAAGATGGAAAAAAAAGAAGCATCAGCAGGTGATGAGGTGCTCGCTGATGACACTGCTGGGGAGCCAGCCCCGACTGAGAATCCCTTCGGTCTGGAGAAGAAGAAAGATCAACCAGTTGACTTGCAGCTGGTGGACATTGATAGTGACGATGATGAGCTGCGCGATTCTGCTGTGCCCCTGAGTCTCTTGGAAACCATGCATGCGCAGGGACTGTCGTTGAAGGGTGCGATTGCGAGCCTTCGCAACGCAATGGTAGATGCGCCGATTGTCAAAAGGATTGAGCAGTACAAAATCAAGAAGGTGAAGGTGCAGAAGGCGAAGCCAAAGACTGAGGAGGAAGCTGGGTCAGATCAATCAGATGAGGAGGAGATGCGCGAGCCAGAAGATTCGACGAAGCCGAGGCCGAGGCCGAAGGCGAAGGGAAAATCGAAGAGCAAGGGGAAGGGCAGGGGAAGGGGAAAGGCGGCTAAGGCGAAGGCCAAGCCCTACGCCAAGAGAAAGGCACAAAAGAAGGTTGAGGAGCATGAGATCAGCGATGAATCTGACGAAGAGGACGAGGACGAGGAGGAGATCTCTAGCATGCATGCGAAGAAAAGGGCTGAGGTGAAGCTGCGCGAGGCAAAGAATGCCAAGACCAAAAATTCCGAACCCAGTTCGGATTCTGAGCTTCCCTTGCCCAAGGACAGCAAGGTGGAAAAGGTGACGAAGAAGAAGACTACTGAGGAAGCTCCGGCGAAGAAGAAGAAGAAGACTGAGGCTGAGGCAGTCCCGGACAAGAAGAAGAAGAGGACTGATGAAGCCCCGGAAAAGGGTGAGCCCAAAACTTTTGCCCGCCGTCCATGCCCAAAGACTTCCCCGGCCAGTGACCGTTGGATTGCAATCTCCCAGACTTTCAAGAAGCATGTGGCGCCCAGAATCGTGGCCTTGGGATTGTACACGTACTCGTACGAGGACAGGGGAGCCACCAAAATTTCCAATTGCCATCTAGCGTTAAGTTTAGATCCAAATAATCGAGATGCGGTTTGGGAATTGGTTTCTTTCCATGTTCCCATCAAGGAGCCTTTCCTGCATATGGCAACGGCGGCCCTCGAGGGCTATGACCCGTCCGACTACGCCAAAGTAGTCTGTGGGAAAGTGGTTGATTTCATGGAAACGCTTCAGGATGTGGAGTAGATAGCTAGCTGACGCAGCGCTTGGGATGGACTCTGCGGCTTCAATCAGTGCTCCCGACTGAAAGCTAACATTATTTCTATTTCATTCACTGCCCATGAAATTTTTGATTCATGTGAAGCTGCGGGTCCTGCAGCGTGTGAAACCATGCTGCCAATTCTTGGGAACTTAGTGTGCGCAATGCACACATTTTGAACATTTTGGGGCCATGTGTGTACTGCTCGTGCATGCCTCGATCCATCAAACATTGTGCAGGCATCGTGCCACGAAAAAGCATGTCCTCACCCCGGCCTCTCGGTCGAATCGTTTGCATGGGCAGGAAATGTATGGACTTCGAAGAGGCCAAATAGGCCTGGCAAAGTTTGGCGTTGGTGCCAGATACGAGCAGCCTCAACGTTGACCTGGCTAGTTTTTTCAGTGAATTCGTACCATGTCCAGCTGATTCATCACAAGCCCACTGGTACTAACTTGGCCGTTGGATCCTTGTTGCAAACCAGTGCTCATTTGGATCAAATTCTAAAGACTTGCCAACTGCAGAGCCATGGGCCCCTCTCAGCTTGAGATATTCTTCAAAAGGATGTTCAGCTTGAAGATTCCAAAAGTCACTTGTTGTGAACGCATGCATGAAAAACCTTTTGAAAAAGGTCGTGTTTATGAATGGGATTCCATCTAATTAACAATTATACGACTGGTTCCTCATCACCCGACCCGAGGTGATAATTATGCTGACGCTTTTGGTATCTTGGATGGAGGAACCTGAAGGCTGCAAACAGAACATACAGGTCATAGAATACTTCGCAGGAGTTGCAAGAATCACCCAAATGGCAAATCGTCTTGGATACCAATCAGTTGCCTATGATTTGGAATATGGCCGCAAGAAAGCTGCAACATCGGGGCGGCGAAATCCGCTTGACTTGAATTCCAATGCAGGTATGGTATTAGCAATAAAACTAATACTGAGAGGATCCTGGAATGATCTAATTGGAGTGTTTGCACTGTGCTGCTCGTCATTCGTCCCTGTAAATAGAGGGACAGGGGCCCGAGATCTTCTAGTACCAGAAGGTGATGAAAATATCCCATCAGTGAGGAGATCCAATAAACTCCTGAGTCGGAAGCTCGTCTTGCTTAAATGCATGCATGGCATATAAACATCAAGAAAATCGTTTTTCCTCCTTCTCGCGGCTCTGCCTTCTTCTGCTTTGTTGTGGCTGAGGACAGTCATATTGATGATCCTGGTGATATGTGCTGGTGGCGTCATCCTACTCGAGAACCCTGGAAACTCAGTGGTTGCAACTCATGCCCGGTTTGTGTGGCTTGTAAACCTTCTGCGATCCCACAACATCCCCGTCTTTTGGCTTACAAGCTAAGCTCATATGAACTTGTTGAATGGCAATTCCACTTATAAGAATCCAAACATACCCCGGGCCACTAAGTCTTGAAATTGTGGCTTGAAGTTTGTTGAAATGATTTGCAACTCGAAGTTCCGCATGCATGCACTCGCATCCCAGGTTTTCAAGACTGCATTTTGGATGCGTAAGCATCTGGCATTAACGTGGAAAAGAACTTGGATCTGGTCTACATCCTCAAAAGTGAGGAACCTTGACTTGGGGCCTTTGCTGCCATCAGAGAAAGCAACAACTGTAAAAACAACAAGGCGATGGACCAAAGATGGTAAAAAGAAATGGCAAGGAACAAGGGCCCTGAAGGGCACACAGTGCTTTGCACGCATTATTGAACTTGACAAATTATGCTGTTCTCGAGATTCAAAACTTGTTGTATCATGAGCTGCATGTCCATAAGGCAATACACCTGGCGCTTTGCTAGCAATGTTGTTCAGCTCTTTGCGGGGTTTGGAGAAGAGAGACATTTCGAGTCTTTACCACCAGTGCCTCGTTCACCGAGCTGCTCCAAATTTAAATATTAACAAAATTTCCCTTGAAAGAGGTCCTCGGGGTGAATGGGGTCCTGGGTCCGCGCGCGCGCGCATGCTAGCTTCAATTTGGAGCCCTTGACGCGCGCGCGCGCGCGGACCCAGGACCCTTTCACTCCGAGGACCCCTTTCAAAGGAAATTGTGTTAATTATTGAATTCAATCGGATCGTACAATACCACATGAAAGAAACAGCTTTCCGAAACATCACCCATCGATTTGAGGTCTGCGATGAGAAGACATGCATCGAGCTCTTCTCCGAATTATCCTTTGATGATTTATGGGATGACTGTAGTGACTTGAGGGATATACTCCTTTATTGTCGGGGGAGCATGCGGCTGCACATACCCTCCGAATGGAGGTCGGTCCTGCCAGCTCACCTGTGAGCTCACATATAGGCCCTTTTGCACAGCCTGAAGCGGCAATTTCTCAAAGGGTGAAAAGTCGGGGAGGCATGTGTGCGAGTTCATGTTCGAACAGCTGATGAGCTTATTTCACGAGTTACATTTTACATTTTCTCGAATTCGAGATGTCATGAGCTGATGGGCATGCATGGACTACGTGTTGTTGCAAGTCATGAATTAGCTTGATTGCATGAGCTAGTCACCTCGATATATAAGAATTCACGAGTTATAGATCGCTCATCAATTTTTAGAGAACTCGATGATTTCAGGATCTGAATTAATTTATTTGACAGGGCATGAGCTCGGGCATGTCGCGAGCTCATGCCCCGATGCTCGCTCGATCATTTTCTTGAACTCGATGATTTCATGAGCTAATGCCTATACCTCCATGACCTCAACAGTTTCCTGAGCTCAACCATTTCATTAGGCCTGGACATGAGCTCATGGCATGATTGAGAATGCATTGATCGAGCTCATGTTTTTTACCTCATTTTACCTCGTAGAAAAACTCGAATGATTCATGAGCTGATTAAATTTTGATGTTGAGCATGCTCTGAATGGTTGAGCTCATGAGTTTTTGATAAAATCATCAAAAATCCGAGGCGGTTTTTGCCGGGTTTGCGGCGGTTTTTGTCGGGTCAGAGGCGGTTTTGGCCGGGCCAGCATTTCGGGGCAAAGCATTACGATGCTCAATATCTCATTTCGATCTCGTGTCTTCAGCTCGGATTCGCTCATGGATGGTGAAGCGATTTTGGCTAATCAAGTCTTTGATGACATGGATGTAGCTGCTCTTGAAGCGGAGCTCAACCGCTTGAAGGACCGTTTTTTGGGCTTCGTCGCCGTCGTCGTCGTTGCTGTCGTTATTGTCCTCGTCGTCATTGTTTCATTTAATGGGCTTTGAGTTTATAGGCTGTTCCTGTTTCTTGTGCTCAGTGACGCACGCCAGTCAACCAACTTTGGTGGTGCTGCCTTTTTTAGCTCGTTTTGGACCCTGAAATGCTTAAAAAATGGCACCTTCAAAAAATGAGGCATGCTATCAACTGGTACTTTCCCTTGAATGAGGGTTTCAAAACTAATGGGGCTTCCAAACCCTTTTCCCGACCCTGGATTTTTTTTAAAAAAAATCGCATGGTCAGGAATGGTAATTTTCCGTTTGGTTTGGGATTTCAGGGCGCGACCTTTTTCTCTGTTTTTGGGATCCTTTTTGTGCGCAAAAGGGGCGCGCTTTCTAACCCTGTTCGAAGTGCCAAACCAACGGGAAAATTACCACTCTCAACCCCGTTGGAATTTGTGATGTGCTAGCTCCCAATAGAATATATCGTTGGAAATTTTCCCATTTAGTTAGCCTTGAAGAAAAGCCCCACCAATAATATGGGGTGGCTTGTGGGCCCCCCCAAAATGATCAACAAAAGGCTCATCAACTCTTAAAGTATTCGTTTCGGGGCTGAACACACAATGCACATGCTCTTTACCGTTTAATCGTATATGGGTCTTTGTCCCCCCGTTCAACTGGTGTTATCCTACTCATGTGCGACCACTCGGGCCCAATTGTCAGGAACTGAGTGCTAGCTCGCTGCCTGGCTGTGTGACGAAGCCGGTGGCGACTCCTGCCCGTGCAGTGGATGGGCAGCCTTTGAAACCCATGCTGCAGGTACAGAGTGGGTTCAATGATCCTTTTGACAAACGATGCATTGATCGATCTGATTTGTATGAAACAATCCCGTGAACAAAACATGACACGTTGTGGTTCTGCGAGGCTGATCCGTACGACATTGATGGGGACAAGACTCCTCAGGCCCGAGGCACCCGCCGTTGCCTTTCTTTTGAAGCTGAGAAGGAGCTCGACCAGAAACCTCCTGAAGTGACTCCCGAAGAGTTCGCAAAGGCTCTTCCCATGTCCGTTGTCAGAAAGCGAATTGATCGCTTAATGAAACCAAAAGCTGATGGAACCTACAAGGTGCCTCTAGAATTGGTTGAGGAATGGAAGAAGGGTGACCAGATGAATATCTTGCGCGAATTTCGGGAAGCAGGTTTGGACAAGGATCGCCCAACTTCTGCGGGTCACAAAATGTCAGATCACAAACAATTCTTTGATTTGAAATTATTAGGAACATGCCTCACAGAGCCAACAGCTCACTGCAGGACATCTTTGTTCGAAAGCTTGTCAAGCGGATCAAAGAGAAGGTGTCTGAAAACGACATGTGGGTCGATGGCCAGTTTATGTCAGAAAAGGACATGCGAGATGATGGTATTGAAGAGCAACCCAGCTGCACGAGACCCTTCCAAACTGCTTCCCAGTCATTGATATGGGTTTGTCTGAAAATAGTGTACCCCTACACCCAATGGTTAATGATCATTATCCCTACTAAATGGCTATAATTGGGGGTATACCCCATTTTCAGACATACCCATATAATAGAAAAGTGTCCCACATGAGCGATGAATTCCTCAGCGAAAAAAGTTGAAAATTCGGCGAAAAACGGTTCCCAAAACGGAAGCCTTTACTCTTTTAAAATTGTACCCTGTAAAGGTTCGAAACGGGCGCCTCCAAAAAATGACGATTCTCAGCATTCGCTGGATTTCCTGCAATGCGCCACCCCAGGAAGAGAATCAAAAGCATCAAAGCTGCATGCCAGAGAATGAAGGGCTGGATTCGGTTTCTTGGTTGCCAAGTAACCAGTTCTTCGGAACAAAGTCGATCAGCGGCTAATATAATATTATAAATAATATATAATATATTACTCGGGCTGATGATGTTTCACAACTTATCAATTATGCATGAAACATTCCAAGCCACGCTCAGGAAGGACTTCTATGAGAAGGATGTGCATGTCTACTGGGTGCAGGGAAACTTGAAGGGAAAGAAACTGAGCCTTGGACACTGTACCGACATGCAAGTGTTTGGTGATCATGTCACACTTTATCACACTTTGAAAATCAACTCTTATCAGCTTAGTGAACTCCTGATTTAAATTTTGGGCCCTGCTTAGTGGAATCTCGAGTCTATTCCCGTTTGTCTCTTCACCCAGGAAGCGCTACCGTGAGAGCACTGCAGTCGAGTCGGAGTCCTCTGCTGATGATGCTGACCCATTCGATACCTCCATGGAGATTGATGAGTGGGACCACATGGAAATCAAGCCCAGCGCAGGTTGGGTCATCGTTCAAATTGAATCACTGTGAATCACACAATCAAAATCAAAGCCTATCATTAGCTTATATTAGCTTGTTTCTATTGCACTTGCTTCAGTCTCGTGATGCCCGAATCTCGCGGCTTGACCCTGAACAGACGAAGCCAAGCTGACCGAGAAGGCGGAAAACTTGGCGGTCGAAGCCAAATCGCTGAAGCTAATCTCATTTCCGGAGATGGATTCTGATGCGATCCCGAGTTCATATGTCATGAAGGTTTTGGCATGCATGGGAAAATGGCAAATGAAGATGCACGATCTCGGGTCTCAGCTGGATACCAGCAACAAAACTATGAAACCGTTCCTTGACGAATAGATGTTGTAGATCATGTTAGACCCCACACCCTAGCACGCCTCGTAGCATCCAATAGATCGAGTTCCCATCCACAGTGCCAAGACCTCGCACAGAGCAGCTGAGGCTGAGCGAGAGATCGCACGAGTGGGCCACGAAAATCGGGGCCCTTGCAGACGAAATTTCAGACTGCAATTCAGGTGGCATCGCTGATGGATTTACGCATGTGCAGCTTGTTTGCATTTCCTATCCATGCATGCACTGAAAAGTTGACAAAAACCCTTTCAAGATGGAGCCAAACAAGCAGCTGGTCGTTGACCTGTTGTGGGTTAAATGGTGGATTTTTCATGCATGTCTGTTGAGGCAACAGGACCAGCTTCGTCAGCAATTCGTCCGTGCCAAGGCGTTGTGTCTTGGCCCATCACTACGTTTTGTTGCTGTATGATATTTCATGGATCTAATGCAGCTTCGACTATTCATTCGTATAAACCCCAAGGCACGAAAGATGCAACTTTGAAATCTCGAGCATAAACTAAAAGAATGATTTCTCTGCTTTTTTTTGAATAGCGAAACTTTCAACCATTGACGAATGAAATTCAACATTCCACTTCGGTACCCTTCCAAGCCCAAATGCCTCAACCGACGCATGAGGTGTCGCGAAGCCTTGAGCCTGCAAAGCCGTGCCCAGCCCCGTGGCATCTGGTTAAATCTCGTGGTCTGGGTGAGGAAATACAGTATGCATGCTATATCATAAGCATTCATAAGCTATATTCTAGAATTTCATTATATAGTAGAGTGAATTTCACATATGCCCTTGGATTTGTTTCCCTACCAACATGGCCCTCGAAATATTAACTCGTGTGTTCGGTTACGGAGGGATGGGGTGGCTGAGGCCCTACATCGCTTACTTGAAGCAGAAGAGCAAGCCGCCCCCACAAAAGAGAGTGAAAGAAGAACAATGAGTATATATTCATGGTTGCTTGTGCTCATCTCCATGCCTTGTTTCCGGCTGGGAAATGATTCAAGTTGGTGACAGTAACCCAAAAAATTGTTTGATCCTTTGAAATTGTTGAGGTGGAGCTGGTTTCAAATGTTTGCAGGGCCCTTCGCATAGCCGGATCAAGTCATATATGTGAGTTTGGTGGTGTTCGCAGCCACGGGGTTTTCCAGTCTCCAGAGAGATTGTGATGGGTTTCTGACTGAGAAAAAATGTTTCTCAGCCATTGAAGTAGGTTCATGGTTCAGCTCGTTGTGGCATAGACTGTCACGCTTTCTTGTGTTAGCCTTGTGCCTGTGCCTAGACCAACAGCACGCGCAGGGAGGTTCTGGGGTCAGAAAACCACTTGCAAGCATCGCTGGAACAGGGCTTGATGTAACGTAGCTCATGCAGTATACGATATGAAAAGTATTGCAATTCATAAATCTCACATGACAGGTGAAGAAGCTGGTCCCATTCTTCGACATGCTGTTGAAATTGTTGCTGATGGGGCCCCTTGGCAACATGAGCATACATGAGCCGAACAATTGTTTGTAATCCACCAAAGCCTGGAGAGCGAGTTCGCGCCCTGGCCCCAATCTGCCCAATTTGCCTTTGCCAGTTGAGGCTCCGGCGCGAACCTTGGCCGAGAAGACCGAAGCTTTTGCTGACGAGCATGGCAAAGCCTTCGCACGGAGGACAATGGGCTCATATGGGGTGAATGTGAAGAACGTAACCTGGCTTAAATTTAGAAAACTGGTTGGATGGCTGGATGGCTTACTTGTCAATTCTGCAAGGTCGCCTGTTTCTTTGGGACTCGAATTCGTATCCTCGTGCTAGCATATTCTTTTGACCGCACAATTATATAGTCGTATAGCCAAGAAACCTACCAATTACTATGCTTTGAGAATACAATGAAGAAGCTGGAAGTGGCAACCCGACAGCCCCAATTCATGTCCCGCTTCAGGCAAAGCGATTGCACGATGCTTTGGTGCGGAAATTTGGGCTTTCCTTGAGGATCCCTCTGTCAGAATATGTTCATTTTGAAGGGCCCCTGTCTGTGGTGATGCCTTACCTCAAGCCGTCTGACATTTTCAGCACTATGATGTCCAAGCACCCGTGGCTACTACTTGGAGGCTCCACAGGACCCGAGTCACAAAGGATGCTAGCGTCATTTTGGAAATGTTACAGGTTGGACCACCCTAGCCATTCAGTTTTCGAGTTCGACGAGGACCGACTGAAAAGGACAATCCCCATTACGGTGCATGGTGATGGTAGAAGGACCCAAAAGAAACAACCGCTTGAAATTTTCAGCATCCAACCAGTGATGGGCTTGAACACACAGGCCTCACGAAAGCGATGCAGCTGCCATTGTGAAACCTCAGTTGAGTTTGGTGGTGGTGACGCTGGTGACCCTAGCACTCATTGCCTCAACAGCAAGCGCAACACCTACATGACGCATTTTCTGGTGTTTGCTTACCCATCAAAATCGTACAAAGGCTTTAACGATTTGCTCACAGGGTTGTTGGAAGCTGCATGCACGGACCTTGGCACCTTGTGCGCTGAGGGGGTGCTTGGGCTTGATGGGCAGCGGTGGTATCCGGCTGCTGTCGGGTTTAAACTCGATATGGAATGGATGGCAAAATGTGGGTCGCTGACGCGCTCTTATCAGAATGTTGGCCATGTTCGAGAAATACCTTGCTGCCACGAGTGTGATGCTGGTATGCCAAACGTCCCTTTCGAGGATGTCAACAAAAATGCCTTGTGGACACAGACGCGATTTAACACTATTCCATGGTCAGTGGACCCGCCTTGGATCAACATCCCCTTTGACCCTGCGAAGCCTGCAAAATTCTTGAGGAGAGATGCTTTCCACATCTTCCGCATGGGAATTGGAAGGAACTACATTGCTTCTTGTGTCTTCTTGCTGTGCTACATGAAATGCTACTTAGACTTTGGGGTCTTCAGAACAGTCTTTCCTGCTGAATCTTTTTGGCCTTTTCAGGGTCGAGCAAATTTCCATAGTTGTAAAATGTGTTCAATCAGTGGGGTTTTGCAGCTGAGGTTTTTCAGTCATTGGGGAGCGCAACGCAATAGACAAATGCTTGGAACGGGCGTTCGGCAACCTGAAGCTGTTTTGTCTGGCCAATGGCTTGAGCGTGCAAAGCATTCGTGGCTTCACAGTCCTCAATATGCATGCCTCGAAAAAAGCTTTTCCTTGGTTGGGTTGCAAAGGTGCGGATACAATCGTCATTCTGAAGTGGCTCCAGTTTTTCCTCGGCCTGTTGATGTCTGACGATAGCTGGTCTCCTGAACACAAAAGAATTTTGAATCTGATGTTGGAGGGTTCAAAGGCTGGCCTATCCTTTTCTCAAGGGATCCATGGGCATGGCATTTGGTTGAAAGTGTCTTGTGTGAAATCTGTGCGGCGAGCTACGCGCAGATTTGGTCACGCTTACGCGCACTTGGCTGCCTATTGTGTAGAACAAGGCTACACGCTGTTTGGAATGGTTCCGAAATTGCATGCGAAAATGCACTACCAAGCTGACTTTGATGATTCGATCAGAGAACAACGTCAATGGACTCTGAACCCAGCAGCATTTGACAACTCGATGTCAGAAGATTTTATTGGACGAATTGCTCGTCAAAGCCGACGCATTTCGTTCCGAAATATTGAGAAATCAATCCTCCTGAGCTATCAAACGAAGGCTCATTTTGTGATTGACAAATTTAAGAAGCGACGTTTGGGGTAAAAAAACGGCGTGAAAAAGCTGAGGCCCCAACATCCACATGGACAGGGTTTTGCGCACTACATTTGATCCACCAAATGGCTTATTCTGGCCACGGCGTTTCTTTGAAACTTTCAAAATCTGCGCACGCAGATTTTACAAATCAGAGGCGTTTTGTGTCACGTAGAGTCGTTTTTACATACCCCAAAATCCAGAGGCTGAAATTGTGCACACAGGGAAGTTCTAGGTATATATATATTCGCTTACATCAGTTTAAGACGAGGAAATCATCAAGAAGAAAACAGTGACGAACAATATATAATATTATATATTTGACAGAGAAAACACACACTCATAATGAAATCCAAGACTGGAAGAAACAACAGTACATTTGGTGACTCCAAAGTGAGTTTCGTCATATGGGTGCTTCCATTTTGGTGAGAGATGCCCTTTCAAGAAGCTTAGCAGTGACTGGTCTCATCGAGAAGTTGACAGACTTTGCCAGGGTTTCAGACTGTAGATAGATTGATGGATGAATAAATGTGATCAAAACATATCATCCTGTTGAACAGTTGGAGTGATGTCTAGCAGGGCTCGCCTGCCATTCTGCACCAACCTTGCCCCAAGGCAAATGCAGGCCACCCCAAATCAGGCCCTGCCGCAACTACAGGATTTGGATCATCCTTTCCCATTCCATCTTATTCCGGCTTCAAATACGAGATCTTCGCCCTACCTACATTGTCCACATTGAAATAGATACTTTTTGAATCTGATTCCTTTGCAATAGGCTCCTGGGTTGTTGTGCATGTTGTGCCTATTCGAATGCGCCCGGCTCCTTTATTTGAACACCCAAGGACCCACAGATTTGCTTCAGTTTTTTCGGTTACCTGATTATCATTGCTCCAAGAAACACAGACCCTGAGAATCGCCAACATTGAAAGGAACATACATAGTCTTGCAACTGGCAGGGCCTGGCAGGGTCTATGTTAGTTGGAGGGAAGGTAAGCATCCATTTTCATCTCCATTTTCCATACTTTTCCATACTTTTCCTGGTGTGATCATTTTGACCCATATCGATGATCTCCGCATGGTGCGCTTTGGCGCGCAGGGCTGGCCGACCAGCCAATTGGGCCAAGGCTGGGGGATAGCAAGCATTGATTCACATTGAATTCACCATGTAATGAACCATTAGTAATGAACCATTAGTGTTAACCATCAATGTTCTTTTGCAACAGCAAGCATGTAATTGTGAAAACAACATGATCACAGTAAGTAGTATTTTAATAAATCACTGTCGATCAAGAATAATTTGGAGCACGTATTGCCTTACCAGCTCCCTATGGCCCTATGATGTGCTCAGTTGCTTCGAGGATCATTGTCGTTTGCTACCACTTTTCCAAAACATGTGGGCCGCAGCCCTGCTCGGGTGTGCCAGGAGAGGCCGGCGCTGGTGGTTTGTTCAAGAGCAGGATGACGCAACTGTTGACCATGGACGGTGGGATGTCCCAGCTTGCGACACAGCAGTGACAAAGGGCGGGCGTCCTCCAGTGCTTAAACTAGTTTGTTTCTGAATACTTCCGTAGATTCTTCCCCACCTGCCAGGTGAGGGTCTCTAGATTTTAACAAAGGTGCAACTCCTCCTTCTCCTTCCTCTTCTTCTCCTCGATTTCTCTCTTGTCCACTGGTGTGCCAGCTCGTAGCCGAACCTCATATCGCGAGCTCCGGGCTGCGCCGTGGCCCGAACCTCATGTTCGGACTGGGCCTGGACCCGAACCTCATATCGGGAGCTCCGGACGCTGTGGGTCGGGCCTGGACCGGAACAGAGAGAATGCCAGAAGAGAATGCCAGAATGCCAGAATGAAAAGATGCCAGATAGAATGCCAGAAAGAATATCAGAATAGATGCCAGATAGAATGCCAGAAAGAATGTCAGAATGGATGCCAGAAAGTATGTCAGAATAGATGCCAGATAGAATGTCAGAGCATGTGCCAGACAGAATGTCAATATAGAACGTCAGAATATATATATATATATAATATAAAATAATTATATATATATATGCACATACAAGTATACACACATATATATATATATACTTTCAGATGGTAGGTCAGAACGGTGTACAGTGTCAGGGTGAGATCACTCGAAGAAAGTAATTGCTAAAGTTCTTTTTTTGGGTTTCGTGTCTGAACCAAGATCTTAAGATCATGGGTGGGTCCCGGTGTACAAGACCCCAACCACTGGGGAAGCGAGTGACAATCTTGCTGGGGGCCGCTGGGGTCAGACTTAGTTAGGTTCTGCGATGGCAAAGCAGCTGAAAAAGACGAAAAGCTTGCGCCTCAGTTTGGAGCACAGAAATTCACAGATACCAGTATATTGGATTTGATTTGATTGATTTGGATTAGATTACAATACGTCGCGTCACATTGAGCTACGTGGATAAATGCATGTAGAACACTGCGCACGTACAAACATACATACAAGTGGAGCCGCATATTCATATCAACTATCAACGTTTAAGGCCCTAATGCCGGACTTCGAGTTTTGCAAACTTTTTCCAAGGAAGCAACGTTACCCATGCCGCATACCATGCAGTTGAGCAGCAGTATGATTCTTTTACCACGTTACAGTGCTTGGACATGTGTCATACGCAGTGTGAATCCCAACTCTCCAAGTACTAAGTTTTAAGCATTTCTTAACTTGCCACCGCTATTGACCTGCACCACATGCCGGTTGCTTCACCTTACAAAACTCTTCTTGCGCTAGATGAGGGTGTTTGGATGCCTTTCACCTGGCTGGTTCAATGTCTCATTTGCTCGGCTTCATCTGGTAGTAAAACCATGCAAAAACTAGGATCTAGGGGAGGTAATTTTCAACAATTTTCAATAGGTGTGCCATGGTGTGCCATTTCCAGGGACGAGGCGTCCCAAGATGTCGTGCCAAGGTCAGGAGAAAAAAGAGAGAGCTCAGCACCCCAGTCTTAGGGATTGCGCCCAAGCGGAGGCTGATAACGAACGGATACATCACATGCTGCACACATCAACAATCATCAACATGCGTCATGTTTCAAAGGTTTACATCTCATGAAAGGGGAAACAAGTCCGATGATCGTATGACAGGAGGGCAACTCATAGAACAAATTCCAAGGCTTCCAAAGCTTCCAATGCCAAGAGCTTGGAAGCTCGCAGCCTGGCGCCCCAGAGTGCTGTCACAACCTTGTCCGCCGGGTTTTCAAGGTGGTGCATCCCAGCCATCGTAAGTCGTCGTAAGGAAAAAAACCATGGGTCGTATCATTATTTTGTGGATTATATATTTTTTGCATACATAGGTTATAGTTATATATATATATATATTAATTAGTATATATATATAGATTATCGGCTACAAACCACTGACTATTGGGATGCACGTCCTCCCGTTGACATCAATCAGGCATGGCCATTGATGCAAAATGCTCACCTGAGGCAGAAGCCGGATGAAGTTTAACCCTGGGGCGGTGAACAAACATGAGCGGATACGATTTTGAAATATATGTTCAATAAACCAGATGATCACTGTTTTGGGGGCCCCAATTTTTACCAAGAGATTCATAATCCAGGGTTGACATTAATCTGGTAAACCCAACAATAATTTTATATAAATCCAATTCTTCGGGTAAGGTTGGAAACAACTCTATACATAGTATACTTGGAGAAATCCGGGACGGCTTATCATTGCGTTTGACACATTACTGGATACCACCAACGGCTTTCTGAAGAATTTTGGAACATCAATTGTAAGTACAATGGCGGCAGTACCTAAGCAACTCTCGTAATACTACCAGCATTGTCATGCAGATTGATAGCTATGGAATAACATGCAATAACTAAACAGTGTATATATATATATATACATGTGTGTGTGTGCGCGTGTGCAAGTAAGAATGCAAAGACACACACAATAGTACTTGACAATAACAGTAGTTAATGATGATCCGATTGCTGTACTTAATGAGCATCAGCATCATCACCGGCATCGGTGTGAGACCAAGCATGGATAGAATGCGCTGAGAAGGTCCGACGGCTGGAACCCCCCTAGTTTTTTTTATTGCTGGGTTGAATCATTTTTGCATATTTTTGCCAACATCAAAGCCATCAATAGGTATGATACCCATCATCTTGTATGGGTTGATAGCTATCAACTTATATTGGGCTACCATGGGCTACCCATCACCATCCCACCATGGCATCATGGTAGCTGAAACAGCCTGGTGGCCGCACCAGGTGCGCCGCGCCTTTCGTGCTCTGCCAGTGGAGCGCTGTGGCTGCGCCACCATTCAGGTGGCGAAATGGCTGGGATTTCATCCCCAATGGCTGAGAGGTTTATCGTTAAATGGGGTCCACCACATTAATTCAAAAAAAAGGAAACTTTTGGTTATTGAACAATATCTTAATCCATATAGGTAAATCATCTATAATTGGCGAGGTGGCACCCATGGCTATGTGGCTATGTTCATGGCGTCTAGAGTCTAGATTTTTTGCCTGTTCACCCGCTTGGCCGGCCACGGTGAGGCTGTTTGGTCCGCCTGCGACACTTTTTGGGAGTTTGACACCGCCCATAGCGGAGCTATCACCAGAGAGGTTGGGTCTTCCCAGCCATGGGAACTATTGGGAACTTCAGAAATTCAAAATGGCAATGGGGCAATGGGTCCTCAAACTTGGGTAACCCGAAAATTGGATGTTCGACCCAACCAAATCCAAATGCAGACTAGCCATTCCTAAGGGCAGAATAAGTCGCAGAATCATTTCACCAAATTTTGAGGTTCCGTGTGGGTTTTCAAGAGGATAGCCACCTGTAGTGAGGTCCTGCCACGCGATTTGAGCTACTTAGTTTTTGCCGTTTTTGCCTATATCAAAACTCCTGGCCTATTCATGCTGGGGAGGGTCCACTTCATGCACCCCAAATGTGCTCTCAATCAATGTCAATGCCAGCGGTGCTGCTCCAGTTTGGACGATTCCATCTTGGGACACTTCACAGACATTAGATGTTCGGGATCCTGCAAGAAACCATCAAAATCTTCGGTTTCGCGGGCGAAGCAATCGTGTTTGTGGGATTGCAGGGGTACATCAACCTGATGCGAGAGTGTGCCACAGTCTGTGGCCTAAGGCTGAAGCAGCAGTCTGATCGAGACATGTGGTGGGCAAGATCTTTTGAGCACGTTTGCTCTTTTTTTCAGGTATTTGCCTTTCTCTTGTAAATTTGTCACAACCATTCACAACCAGGCTGAACATGGTATGTCCGAGGGCTGTTTGTTGATCCCGGATCCAAGTTTGTGCAAATTAAGATTTGGAAGATGTCACAAGGACAAGGATTTCAGCAAAACAGAAGGCTAGGCTAGACTGTGACCTCAAGCACCTCCCTGACCGCCAGAGCCTATGTCCCGAGGTCAATACGTTGCGCATGCTTCGCAGGGCCAGGCTGCAGGGAAGCAGCGGCTTTTGTTCGAGTTCGCAGCATGGTGGATCCCATTGGATCCCACTCATTTCAAATCATTTCCTGGTCAATGACCATTCACCATGGGCCATGGTGCCAAGATGTGCCAAGGGATATCGTGGGTCTGGGTTCCAACCACAGTGGGGCAGAAAACAGCCATGCCCGGAAGTTCGGCCAGGTTGGAGTTCCGCTTCCGGCGTAGTGCTGCCCCGGTGTTGCTGGAGGCATGGGCGGCATGGGCGGCATGGGCCTTGGCGAGGTGGTGATGTACCAGTGAGCAGTGGCCAAACTCCTCTGGATGACCTGATGAACTTCATGTTTCCCATTACATTACCGCTATGAATTTATAATTCACATTAATTCACATTAATGATTGATCATTATTGATCATTAATGTATATTTGAATATATTTGATATACACGAATATGCATCATGTTCCAGAATCATTTGTATCAGATGAGGGATGTTTCCATCATGTCGCCTTGTTTGATTACTGTAGCAGAGGATATCTCCCCTTTGTTCGCAGGTTTACTCCCACAGAAACAACATACACAGACAGAGAGACAGACAGATAGATAGACAGACAGACAGACAGACAGACAGACACACACACACACACACACGCACATCATACAGATACTCGCATATCATCATTATACAATCATTACTGCAGTAGCACAACATCTTTCGCTTACAACCCCGTGAACATTTCCAAACAAAAACATGCAACCAAGAGAAACATCCGGAAATCCCGTGTTTTTTTCTCCTCCAGATGTTGAAACATGTTGAAACATATCACCAACGCCCCCAAGGGCGGAGAATCTCCCACCGCGGAGGACTTCCTGCTGATGATCTGGCCCAAGGCGACCAGCGAGGACCGCGCGCGCATGATGCGCTGGGCCGAGCTCCGAGAGGCGCCATGGACGTGCAAAGCATGGCGGAAGTTGAAAGGAATCAGGACATCCAAGCACCAAATTTTGGGTTACATGGACACACACACACACACATAATCACACACACATATAATTATATATATATACATATTTATAATATATTTACAAATGTTTTTTCTTGGGGGGAGCATGCCCAAGAATGCAATAATTCTCAGACCATCCCGATTTTGGTGGGAAAACCGGCTGATACTTTCGGTGGAATCTTAGGATTGCCCAGGTAATTCAATCTTCCGGTTTATTATGTAGGCACAATTTTTGGATGCATTTGGGAGGTTCAAGGTGTATTGTAGGATTGTAGGTGTCATCCTGGCACACTCGCAACATAGCATTGAGGGAGAAAACATTACTTTGTGTTTGTATAAGTATACATAGGCGTGCTTCGACGTTCATCTTCATATCATTGGTTCAGGGATGACGGACGGATGGCCAATAGGACGGCGTCTATGTTGTTGGGCAGGATGTCCTAGTACCCGTATCTATATACTGGAGTTATGAATGTAGTAATTGATTAACAATAATTGGGGTTTACCCACCGTTTTTTCCAGGGCACACAGTGCCATCTGAAGGGGCGCAGATTTTCCACAAGTCCAGGTGGAGCTGGTCATGTTGATCTGCGTTTAAATCTGGGAAGACGCACCCTGAATTGGGGATAAAACGTGAGAAAACTTGGCTGCCTTTTTGATGTGCATTCTGGCAAGCCAAGGCAGAAAGTGGTTGCCGTCCAGCAGACCTTTGTTGCATTCAGTTTGCGTCACTTTTGGCCATCTTGGCCCAGAACAAGAGGACATCTTGTAGCAAGGGCATCAACAAGACAAGCCTGCAGCATCCTGCAGCCACCAAAAAATGGACCGCAAGAAACACCAACTTGGCCAGCTTTAGTTGCATGCTTTCTTTTTGCAGTAGCAGCTACCAGATTTAGCAGTCTGGAGTGCCTCGCTGTCCACCTCGGTGCTGAACCGCTGAACCAGCAATCAGAAAAATCCCAGCTGTGCCCACCCCTACTGGACATCCACAACCACCACTTGGTTGAGCATTTGGCATATCATACATAGATCATAGGCAATACACATATTAAGCATAGCTTTCTACACTTCATGCACGAGAGAGTCATTGCACTAAGCCAATTCCGGGAACAAAACGCAGCATCAATTGCAAACCATGGCGATTGATAGGTTAAACAGGAGTCGGAGAGCAGCTCGGCAGCAGAGTGGTGCAGCAAAGCCAGGGGAGTTGTGGTATTGTAGTATCTTTCACTGAAGGATCCAAATGAAGATGTTTATAGTAGTTATAGTTTATATATATGATATGATATGATATGATATGATATGATATGATATGATATGAACAATTTGATTTGATGTGGAACGGAGTTTGTGCGTGTTAGTATAATGTTTAAGATTTAATACATATCCCCCATCAATTAGATTCTCATATGGGTAGTTTATAGAACATGCTCGCCATATGCCTGCAGATTGCACCCAGGATAAGCTGGACTGGGCAGCAAAGCTGGGTCTTGGACCCTTAGCTGGTGCGGGTCCCGAGCGCATCCACAGCTCGCGGCGACATTTCATGGATTTTCTGCTCAGGTGGTGAGGTGCCTATCCCCCCAGGGGCGGAGGTGCCACGCAATGTGCGCGATGCCATGGCGCAAAAGAAGCAGGTGAAGCTCAGCATGGGAGCAGTTTTGCAGATCCTAAATTGGGGTTTGGGGGTGGGTGATGTCTGTGTTGGAAATGCCACGGGTTCGGTTGGAAATGCTTGTAGATGGGGATAGAAGCAGCAAACAGATTTTGGGGATGCAACCAGCCAAAGATATATACGTATACAGTATATATAATAATAATAATATATAACAATAATATATAGATTATATAGGTATATAATGGTATATATATATATATTTAAGTTCGCAATTACTTATGCCGCGACTTATGCCCCAATACCCAAGTCATGTTCGGGGTTACCAGCCCTCATCAGCAGTTTGTTCTTAACTTTAAGTGTCATCCTGGTGATGGGTGCTCTACAGCATGGGGAGATGAAGTAGCATAAAACATAGGGCCTCAAATGCTACCGACTTGGTGGTCCAGAGTCTTTATCCAATATGCAATGGTGTCCACATGTATCAACTATGAATCATGACTCAATCATGACTGAATTGCTGCTTTTTAGCATCGTGTAATGTTGCGCATCTTAAATTTTGTGGAGGACTTTCCACGATGTTCCAAAACTGAAACCTGGCAATATTTGCTCCACTCTTCCAAAGTCTGAGGATTGGAAGTTTGACTTTCCATGAGTTTTTATAGTTTTGATCCCTAAGTCTATTCATTCTCCATGATTTGATCCATATTGTTCCATCATGTTCCACCATTTTCTATCCCCAAAATAGCCATGGGTTTTCTCCATGGTTACCGCATGGCAGGCCGAAGAGATGGCGGAGCTGCGCCGGCGCATCGTTTCTCGGAAGCATTCATGTCGGTCGATTTCAATAATCTGTCCAGGTGATTGAAAGATAAAAAAATGGGGATAGCACGTGATAACAGATGTTTTAAAGAAATGTACTTGAGGCATTTATCAAGGGGGATAGGACATAATGGGATATGAATGGAAGACTTATGGGGATAATGGGATATCAATCAGCATATCTCTGGATAAATTATGTTGCAACCTCACTGCAAAATTACTGTAAATGCTGGTTAGGATTGGGGCAAGTACTCCCAAATCGCCTGATTTCATGTTGGTGAATTGTTGTAATCTATCAAGATTATCCATTTTTGGGGATAAATTATCTAAGCGAGAAAAAGAGGGATAACGGGATAATCATAACACAAGGACTGAATCAATGAACATAGGGGTATAAAACCAACCATTATGGGATATAACCAGTGGGACCCCGGTCCCCGATCGGCAACTTTTTTTTTATGGGGAAAATGATGATCAACCATGAGATTTTGAGGGCGTCTATTTTCAAATGAAGCCATCTACCATCTGGTTATTTAACATAGCCATGGAAAATCACCATTTTTAATAGGTAAACTTGGCAAACCATCTATAAATGGGCCATGTTCCATGGCTATGTTAAATAACCAAAGGGTATTTGATCAGATATACCTAGACATAGTCAGACACCTAGATACCCAGCAAAATTGCTAACGGGTTTTCGAGAGTTTTGGCAGCTAACTAACGTGACGAGAAGCCTTTGCAAGATTTGATGAAATGCTGTAGTCAACCAGATCGATATGGCAATGCTTCTCAAAGTGTGCTGTTTCTAGCTGTGGCAACCTATCAAACTTTGCCACCCAACAAAGCTCTTCGGGGTTTGAAAAAATAGACCACCTGATGAATTAGGCAGGACTGTGGGTTGTGCCGAGGAAAAGCAGACAGACGTGGTTTCCACAGCGCCACCCAAGACTGAAGAAGAAGACGTGGATGTGCCTCAACCAGATAGATTTGCTGCAAATGCCTGGATGACAGGAGTGGGGGATTTAAAAGTGTGTGGGTGTGTATATGATGTATATTTCAATATGTGTCTTTAAAGAGAAGCCGTGGGAATATACACACCATATTATATATATATATATATAATATATATATATATGTATACACATACGTATGTATATAATCATAGATTTGGGATGATACACGGATGTCATGAACACGAATTCATGGAAATGAAAAATGCAACTAGTCATGTTCTACTTATTATTGCACTTAGGCCAGGAATTGTCCAAGTTATCCAAGTTGGGGTTCCCATGTTTTTTTGCCATACCCACGTGGTAGAAGGCAACACAACAACTCCAGATGTTGCTGGACACTCCTCCCGAGAACCAAGGCATCGGGATTTCTGAATCCAAATGCGGCATCCTCAGCTTCGGACGCCTCACATCACTGGAGCCCCCGAGGATGTATGGTTCACATGGTTCACCGGCCAAGGCGAAAGCAAATGCAAAGAAAAAGGTCGCACCCAAAAGCGTGGCTCAACTGCACAGCCGACATAGCCTGTACCTGGTGGATGCCTCTGTGGTGGCGTAAACTGGACTAATTATACAGTCAAACTGCGTATAAAAATGGGTGGAGCTAACTACATGTGCTTGTGTTCGATGGAATTTCCTTTTTTTTCACGAAAGCTAGCGGTAGCTAGCTGGAGTTACTCTTGCTTCAGCAAGGGGAGGGGCAGGTCTGAGTCCAACAGTGATTTTTCATTCGAACCCCCCCGAGCTCCCGGGCATTTTGAAGCGGTGTCGGAAGCAGATGGTCACGGGCTCAAATCCTGCCAGGTCTCTAGGCAATCTGTATTCAACATATCAAAATCCCATCTTGTTTCCAGGCTCATATGAACCTTAGCTTTCGTTCCCCCCCTGGGCCTCAAGTTCCACGACCTCAGTTGGAAGAGCAATACACCTCAAATCTTGGATCAATCTGTGCTGATGTCTTCAGGTACTTGCACCAGCAGGACCCTGGATTTTCATGGATTTTTGACCTTGATCATGGAATGATTCCAAGACTCATTTTAACCAAAAGAGTTGTAGACCCCACTCTTTTGTCAAGTTCCCGCTTCTATTCAACTAATTTCCAATTGATTCACCAGTTCGAAAAAAGTTGCCCGTTTAAGGGTTTAATTTATAATTAATTGATGAGATTGCACAAGTTCTTAAGCACTTGGGTTACAACCAAACCTACCTATGCCAAGAACCCAGCTTTATTTGATTTGTTTCTCTTGGGGGACAATAGTGTAACGTATGGTGCGGTTGCTGAACACCCCTGCTTGGCTCCACCCAATTTTTCAAGGGGTGTCCCCCCTTGGGTTTCACATTCACTTCGCATTCTTCACTTGTGAAACTTGTGAACTTAACTCACTTTCCCTAGCGTTTCTCATGGGCAACCTTCGTCACCCATGCCTCATCTCGAAAAAACAGCACCATCCTGTTCGGGTGGGTGTAGTGGTTTTGCGCAAAATAGGGCACCCACAAAATTTGACAACTTTGATCCTACTTAGGTGGTGAAAAGCCGATGGTTTGATGGTGAGTGAAATCCATGTTTCGGGACTAAACCACCGAGAG